TGAAGATAAAATAAAGTCCGAAATTTTTTTTTACCATTATAAAGAATATTACATTAGCTTTAATTTAAGATATATATAAAAGTGTCAGACCTTCCGGAACATTTTCAAAAGTTAAGTTGAAAAAGTTAATTTTTTTTTAAAAAGTTGTCATTTTAAATCCCCTCTTGTGGGCAGGTTAAGGGTTAAATTTATGAAAAAAATATACCAAACGAAAGGTAATGATATTATGCATCTATATAAAAAAGAATTATATTGATATGTTCATTTTTGAAAAAGTTATGGCACTTTTAAGTAAAAAAAATTGAAAAAATTTCGAAAATTAGCGATTTTTAAATTTGTAATTTTTTTGGAGGTTTCCCCCATTTACGGGGAACGAAGGAATTTTTTTCAATTTTTAGAGTAATGTCTTCGACTAGATACAATTTGTGATCTTTTGACGTATCATTGAAAGAAATTGGTTCGGTGAGAGCTGAGAAAAAGTGGTAACAGACACAAAAAAAAAAAATAAATAAATAAACACATCTTAGTAAAACCAATACCTTCTCAGTTTCGCATCGAAGCTAAAATAATCATTTTTTTTAGAAATGATTTATATAGCAACATGTTACAAAAAAATTTGTAATATTATAGTCCTGTAGTAGCACACACAAATAGAGTAAAAAAATTATTAAATTACTAAGTAAAATTATTTAATTTGGTAGTTGAAACCTATCATATCAAACTTCATTCGTTAATAAATATTTTGAAAACATTAGAAATTAATGATTTTAATTGTCTTTATGGAGACGATGTAATAACTAACTGTTTAATTGATAAATTAGAATTTTTTTTTCAATTTTTGAGGGTAATATCTTCAACTAGATACGAATTGTAGTCATTTGACGTATCGTTGAAAAAAGTAGGTCAAGTTAGAGCAGAGAAAATAAATGATAGTCACAAAAAAATATCTTCTCGGCTTTGCATCAAAGCTAAAATTTAAAATATAGTAAAATAATTTTAATACAAATAAGAAATTTCTTCTTGAAAGGGGCGACTAAAGTGATGGGATCCTTGATCTTTATTGAAGTTATTGAATCTAAATGAGATAAAAATCAAACGAGTTAAAATTTATACTAACTTAAAAAGAATTAAGAAAAAATGCAAANAAATTTATACTTACTTAAAAAAAATTAAGAAAAAATGCAAAAAATTCATTGACATACGCGGGTTGGAACCTCGTACCCCAAGCGTGTAAAACATATGTTTTACCAACTCGGCAACTGTACGTCAATACCGTCAGTTGAAAAAATTAGCTATTTAAGTTAATTTAAATTTCAAAGTTATTTTTCTAGATTTAAAAGAAGCTAACAAATTTAAATAAGTTGAACTTTCTATGCTATATTAATTTTTTATTTATATAATATTTATGAAAATCTGTACTCCCCTTGTCAGGTATTTTAAAATAAAATAAAATACAAAACCCAGAATTTTAACACAAAAATAGCATATTTTTGCATACGGTAGTCATTTTTACCATGAAGACAAATCCAGAGGTCAAATTTTTTTTTTTCACATTAAAGTATATTACATAAGCTTTAATTTAAGATATATTTAAAAGTGTCAGTATTTCCGGAATACTTTCAAAAATTAAATTGAAAATATCGTAGTAACAATACGCATGTTTAAAGTTTTGACCCCCCTTGTTAAAGGGGTATGATCCGATTTACAAAAAAAGCGTGCCAGATGAAAGGGGTATATCAATATTTATTATAAAAAAATAATAATATAGATCCATACATTTTTCCAAAAGTTATATAAAATATAAATTAAATAATATAACATATAAAATCGAGATTTTTTTCACGGAAATCGTACGTTTTTCTTTAACTTTGATGTCCGTTTTCACCACGAAGACAAGTCCAGAGGTCAAATTTTTTTTTTTCAAATTAAAGTATATTACATAAGCTTTAATTTAAGATATATATAAAAGTGTCAGTCTTTCCGGAACATTTTCAAAAGTTAAGTTGAAAAAGTTCTACTTTCTATACGCATTTTAAAAGGTTTGCACCCCCCCTGTATAAAGGGAAATGGTCCGATTTTAAAAAAAAGTATGTCGAATGAAAGAAGTATATATAAAGTATTTATCATTAAAGAATAAAGTTGATTCATGCATTTTTTAAAAAGTTATAGCAACATAATGTTAAAAAATGTAAAATATAATATCAAGAATTTTTTCACAAAAATAGCATATTTTTGCATACGGTAGTCATTTTCACCATGAAGACAAGTCCAGAGGTCAAATATTTTTTTTTCAAATTAAAGTATATTATATTAGCTTTAATTTAAGGTATATATAAAAGTGTCAGTCTTTCCGGAACATTTTCAAAAGTTAATTTTTTGTAAAAAAGTTATTGTAAAAAAGTTACCATTTTGAAACCCCATCCTTTGGGCTGTTAAAGGGNACCATTCCTGTGGGCTATTAAAGGGTCAAATGTTCACAAAAATATATAAAATGATAGGTAAATATCTAAGGTATCCGTACCGTCAGGTCCTCGTCCATGAGAATGATCGACATTTTCAAAGAATATTATGGCGCGATGCACCTGTCAAGCCTTTACAACATTATGTACTTAATACTGTAACTTATGGGACGGTTCCCGCTTCGCTTTTAGCCACTAGAGTTCTTAAGGAGTTAGCACTTGGCAGCGCTACTGAATATCCTAAGGCAAGCTTATCAATACTACAAGACTTTATATGGATGATTACCTTAGCGGTGCTGACAGCATGTAGGATATAAAGACCCTGTATCAGGAGGTTTCTAAAATATTAGGAAATGGTGGTATGCACCTGCGTAAATGGTGTTCAAATGCTGAGGAATTACGCGAACATTTTGCGTGTGCTTCTTCGGAAAAGCATTATTTTTTAGAACTTAGCTTGGATATGACAGTGAGTTCTCTAGGGCTTATTTGATGTCCCATAACCGATGAATTGAAGTTCTTGAATAAGGAAAGAACAGCAAGAAGCGTTAAAACCAAAAGAGATTTGTTATCAACACTAAATAGCGTATTTGATCCACTTGGCTTTTTAGGTCCCGTCTTAATCCGAGGAAAGGTGTTTTTGCAAGAATTGTGGCAGATCAGTTTGAATTGGGACGATGTTCTGCCCGAAGAGTTGCAAGTCAGGTGGGCTACTTATATTCAAGAGTTAGAAGGACTGCACTAGTTAAGGATACCTCGTGCGGTTAAAACGGATGGTCAAGGCACAATGGAACTACATGGCTTTTGTGATGCGCCCCAAAGTGCTTATGGTGCTTGCATTTGCTTACGTCAGCAAAGACTAAATTTATGGACAGTTCGATTATTATGTGCCAAATCACGGATTGCGCCTACCAAAACTTTAACTATACCACGATTGGAACTTTCCGGCGCACTGTTATTAGCTGAGTTAATGAATCGAATCGTCAAATTGAGCAATTTTAATTCAAAGGACGTGTATTGTTGGTGTGATTCAACGGTGGTCTTAGCTTGGATTCAGGGTACTCCCGCCCAATGGAAGACGTACGTGGCTAATCGTGTTACTCAAATTTTAGATGCGATCGGTAATGAAAGGTGGAGACACGTTCCTACCGATTGTAACCCCGCAGATCCCCTTTCGCGTGGAATAAATGTAGACGCGTTGTTGTACTCGGACCTATGGTGGAATGGTCCTGCTTTTCTTAGAGGCGTCGAAGAAGATTGGCCAATCACATCCGAATCATATACGGTTTCTAAAGAAGTGTCAAATGAACGACGGCCTGTTAAGTTTACTCTCACAACGACTGCTCCCGTAGATAATAGGTTACTTCAATATTTTTCGACCTGGCACAAGTTGTTGCGCATGACTGCCATATGGAAGCGGTTTATTGCCTGGGTTCGTCGTAGAGCGAAACCTACATCACCTCAACCAGGAACAGGTCCTCTTAGTGTTATTGAGCTTATGACTCACGTGATATCTGGATTAAATTTGCTCAGCAACAGGCTTTTTCAGCAGAGATACAAGAATTAAGCAAGGGTAATTCCGTAACTAAGGGACCGTTAAAAAATTTATCGCCGTTCCTTGACAAAAGGATATTGCGAGTTGGAGGTCGTTTGAAACATTCTAAATTAGATTTGAACTAGAAACATCCAGCGTTGCTACCACGCAATCATCGGGTGACTCAAATGATATTCGAAGCCTACCATAAGAAGTTCCTATATATCGGTCCTCAAGGTTTACTTGCAAATATTCGTGCACATTTTTGGCCATTAAGAGGCAGAGACATAGCACGCATAACCGTTAACAAGTGTGTAAAATGTTTTCGAGCGAAGCCCATTCCAATGCAACCATTAATGGGGCAGTTACCAGCTGCGCGAGTGACCGCAAATCGGCCGTTTACGCACACTGGAATTGATTTCGCAGGTCCTATTATGATTAAGGTTGGAATACGTAAGAGAACATTAATCAAGACTTATGTTAGTGTGTTTGTTTGTCTATCTACCAAAGCTGTACATCTCGAACCCGTCAACGATCTGAGTGCAGATGCCTTCATGGCTTGTTTACGACGTTTCATTTCATGACGTGGTTTTCCATCTCATATTTGGTCCGATAATGCCACTAATTTCGTGGGAACTAGACGTGAAATAATCAAATATTATGCAAAACAAAGATCTGGAAGAACTGTATATGATGAACTGCTTGATGAAGGTATACAATGGATTTTTATACCACCATCAGCGCCACACTTTGGAGGCGTTTGGGAAGCGGCCGTCAAGTCCTGTAAGTATCATTTGGTACGCACTATTTTGGGCACGAGTTTTAATTTTGAAGAGTTGTGTACCGTACTTGCTCAAGTTGAAGCGTGCTTGAACTCAAGACCCTTAACACCGTTATCTTCAGATCCGTGCGATTTTAATGTTCTAACACCTAGTCATTTTTTAATTGGTGGACCTGCTCAGGTGATACCAGAACCGGATCTTTTGGATATACCAGCAAATCGAGTACGAAAATGGTCATTGATGCAAAAAACAATGCAAGACTTTTGGCGTAGATGGAGAATGGAATATTTGTCTTCGTTACAGGTGAAGAATAAGTGGTTGAAGGATGAAAAACCTATTCCTATTGGATCATTAGCAATTTTAAAGGAAGATAATGCACCACCATTAAAATGGCCTATGGTAAGAATAGAAGCTGTGCATCCGGGAAAGGACAAGATAGTTTGAGTGGTTACAGTAAGACTAGCCAATGGTAACCAACTGAAACGACCTGCTGTCAAGATATGCCCATTGCCATATTGTTAAGTGCATTGAAGCACAATGCTTAAAGGGAGGCGAGATGTTCGCGCTGCTTAAAAATACTAGATAGCGCGCTTATTCAGTTCTGTCCACTCGTCCTCCCTTCCTCTCCCGGTTGCTGGGCGGCGTCGGCCGGTTATCATTGCCGATCGACATGTGTATCTAATAAGATTTAGTATCATTTTTCTTTTTTTTCTTTGTTTTTTCAGACAGTTGTTTTTCTATGTTGTAAGTCACACGGATGGCATTTTCTATTTTGTAAGTCACACGGATGACGTTTTCTATTATTTTATTTAAATTGCACGGATTATGTTTAATACTTTCAATTGCAAATCATTAGATTAAAATATTTACCTATGAACATTGGCATATAATAATTGTATACAAAAATCTGATTGGTGAGTTTGGCAGTTACTGTTACATTTATATAAATTATTGTTATATCACACGGATGTTTTGATTATAAAATTTGTCATTTTGTACTGAATTGTTTATTGTTATTTGTATAAACTTATTTTTATGTGAGCCAACAACCACAGTCTTCTTTCTGTATAAATTTAAATACAAAGATCCTTTCTTATTAATCATCGGGTATGCGAGATATTATTACTCACCCTGGTATTAACAGAGTGGGTTGCGTATCACAAAGTTGCTGACATACCTATCTATTTTGTCATGACCAATACTACAACCTAGTATCATCAGTAATAGTAATATCTATCAAACTGTCATGGAATCTGGTAACACCCATTGACTGCAGCACCACAATGGCCGCTAACATAAAAATTACAGACTATACAAAAACAGATAGATCACACAACCCGATAACAAAACAATACTTTGGTTGGTATCAGAAACTATTAGAAAATCTTTTTATTACAAGGCGACGAATTTTATGATCAATTATTGTAATATGTTGAATGTTTAACAAGTATTATATAATTAGCAAACATCTTATTATATCATAGAACAAGGAAAAAAACGCTCTTCCAGAAAACTTACTTATCGTGCTCGGATTCTCAAAATTTTTTAGCTTCGATGCGAAGCTGAGATGGTATTGGTTTCACGAAGATGTGTTTTTTTTTTTTTTTTTTTCTGTTACCACTTTTTCTCAGCTCTCACCGAACCGATTTCTTTCAATGATACGTCAAAAGATTACAAATCGTATCTAGTCGAAGAAATTACCCTCAAAAACTGGAAAAATTTCCCTCGTTCCCCGTAAATAAGGAAAATCTCCAATAAAATTACAAATTTAAAAATCGCTAATTTCGAAATTTTTTCAATTTTTTTTACTTAAAATTGCCATAACTTTTTTAAAAATAACCAAATCAATATAAATTTTTTTTTATATATATGCATGATGTACCTATCATTTGTGTAATAATCCTTATAAGTCTAGGCTTAAATGCATTTTACCACCCCATCGAGTTTTTTCATTTTTTTTTTTTTTAATTGATTCTTTAAATTTAATTCTTTAATTTATACTGACTAAGAATATATAAAAAATTTTGTCGGCGAAGTCCAGTTTAAAAGTTATGAGCTTTCAAAGTTTTCAACCATCATTGACAAATTTTGTTATATACTGCTGTTCTTTTTGTTTTTTTGCATTAATTCATTAGAAAAATTATTCTCGATGATGTATTAATCGAATTTTATTTATTTAATTATACTAAAAAAAATATTTATATGTGTGTAGGTACTTAAATAAAAAAATTTACGTCGCACCGCGCAATTTAAACTGTTGCTGAAATGGTATTGCTGATACATTTTATACATACAGTATCAGTTTCAATTTTAATTATTTATAAAATTTTTTGCATTTTTTAAATTATGATAATGCATTTTGTTCAAAACAGCACATGTTATCTTCTCTGTATCAGTCGGCATTGATAACGTGTACCGGTTGAACACGGAGGTAGTGGTGATAATATTTGACCGTGAAAGTATACGGCGGCCTTTGACAATACCAAGCCAAATATGTTTCACGGTCAATCAGTCTGTCGGCTGATTAGCTACGGTGGACATTTGTTAATGAGTCTGTGCGCTATATGGTATTATAACACCCGTTTACGTAATCGACGTACGCGTGTTTTTTTGTTCTTTATTACCATATTGTTGTTATCCGGCCTATTGTATATAGCCGTGAAAGACTTGTTTAAGAGTTGTGGTCTTATTAAGTTTGGAGTTATTGGTGAAAGCTTGAACACCGGTTTATTCCGTTATTGTTAGACTGTCATTGTCAAAGTTGAAGCTACCACATGAAAGACATTCAAAACAGTAAATAGAACGAGTTAAATCCTGTTATAATATTGTATGTAAATTTATTTATAGTTAAGTCTATTAGTTGTAGCTACATTTGTACTTGGGGACGCCCATTATATTGTTGATATTTATTAGTTATATTTATTATAAAACGGAACAAAACACCATATTTTTATTTTTATAATATATGCAAATAGGAATTGTACGAATATCAATCTCTTTTATTATATTTGGGTATACATTTGTTTAATTCATTTCTTTTTTCTGTGTTGATTATTACCATATCAGTCATACGGGCCAACCGTTATTATAGGAGCCCGTTGGCTAACACATTTTTATATTTGACAGTTGGTAATAAAGATCATGATATACTGTTTTACTTTCAAACAGCTTAATTCTTTAACTATTTTTAGTTATTTCTTTCTCACTATGAATCGATGGATGTATGATGGAACTTTGTACAAATGTCATTGTGGTTTAAATGTAAATATTCGGGATAAACCTAATAGTTATTTAGAATCGAGTAATACGCAATTTGTCGTGTGTCGTATAGATTATACTGATCCAACGCGTTGTCGATACTTTAAATACATGGCTGAAGATTATCACAACTGTAATTGTCATACCCAAGCATCATTATGCATTACTAGTACAGGAAGTAATAAGGACAGACCGTATTACTACTGTGCAAAACCGCGCACGAACCCACAAAGGTGCAATTATTTTAAATGGTATCAAGATGAATACTAAAATTTCAATATCTAATGTAATAGTATTTTTTTTTGTTTTCAATAAGTGTTAATTGGTATACATAATATACTGTAAAAACTTTTATTTTATTGAATAAACAATTCTAAGTAAAACTCCACATCGTGGTCTTCTTTTTTTTTTTGCACAACTTAAATTAATTGAGTTTCTTATTATTGCCTAATCACTTATATAAAATTTTTATGAAAAACCCATTTTTATTTCGTATTGCGTAGTTTTGAAAAAAAAATCCTTATTTTTCGTTTTAGGATTTTTAGAATGAGGATATTATGTAACAGTTACGTCATTATAGTTTCACAATATTATCATGAGAAAAAATCTCAAAAATTACCAAAAAAAAAAAATTTTTGAGCTATTATTTGGAGGTGTGTAACTTTTTCCATGAAAATGACATACTTTTGAATAAGAGTGATAAGCAACAATTGCCTTATCAAATTTCTTATCATGGTATTAATGCCAAGGTTGTAAATTATAGTAATCATGAAAAGATAGTGTTTTCTTCTGTCCTTTTCTCAATACGTATTTCAATGTTTAACACCGTAAAATAATACATGAAAATTCAAATTTTCACAAATTTTAAAATGCTACAGAATATTTACTACTGAATATTAATAAGATATTTTTTTATTAAAACTTTTCTTAAATTCTACTCTACAAAATAGCTATCTTAGATTTTTTTTTTACATTTTATTTAAAATTTAAAAATAATTAATATTTTTAATAAAATGTAAAAAAAATAATTATTGAGATATAGCTATAGACCTAACGTATAACTATTATTTAAAAAAAAAATCAACTAAAAATNAATAGCTATAGACCTAATGTTAACTATTATTCAAAAAAAAAATCAGCTAAAAATATTAACTGGATCAAAATTTATTTAAGTTGTCAGTGAGTGGTGGGCCACCTGTATATTATGTATCATGTTAATTTTTGTATAATTTAATTATATTTTATATACAATGTTAATACATATTTTATAAATGTCTATGGCTCTATAAATATTTGAAAAAAAGTAATTTTAGCCTTTTTGTAACAACATAAGAAAATAGTTTCTTCAACTTTAGAATATATAAACACTCATACAAACGTAGTAGATAAAAATGAAATGATTAAATAACAGTAAAACATCAAACAGGATATATGTTATTTTCTCTTTGTTTGAATTTGACGTAACATCCTTCATCAAAAGTTTGTGTAATTGAATAAGTTGCTTTAAAGTCTTCTGGTTTTGAGTATTTTTCAGAAAAGTGAAAATGGTAATTTCGAATTAATGTAGATATTATTACTTTCATTTGTATCATTGCAAAACGTTTACCTACACAATTTCTTGGCCCTAATCCAAATGGCATAAATGAATTAGGATGTCGACTCAGACATTCATCTGGTGAAAAGTTATCTGGGTTAAATTTTTCTGGATCTTTATAGTACAAATGACTTTTATGTAAATTGCCAATACAAATTAGTAGTATACTTCCTGTAAATAATCACACTACATCAACAAAATTAAAAAACCTAAGAATAGAAAGGTATAAAAGAGACCAACGCATATCAAAATTTTTATTTCAACTTAATTTATTATGATTGAAAGTCTGACAACTTTTAACTTATATTAAATAAGTGAATTTAAAACGTACTTTATAAATAAAAAAAAAATAAATGTGTGATCCATCCATACGATCAGGAATAAGTGCGGGTGGGTGAAATGGAGATAAGCATTTGGTGTGTTATGAGATAAGATAACTTCAATGAGGCTGAAAGTTAAGTTCTAAATGACAAGAAAGTAGAGCAGAGATTAAGTGTTGTAAAGATGAGAATGATTAGATGGATGAGTATAGTGACTAGATATAATAGGATAAGGAACGAACATATAAGAGAGAGTATAAGTATAGCGTCAGTCGTGGATAAGATGAAAGAAAATAAACTTATATGATTTGGTCATATTATGAGGAAAGAGGAAGTTGTGAGAACAGTAATGGAGATAAATGTTGAAAGAAAAAAAGGAAGGAAGACCAAAAAAGAGACGGAGGGATGTTATCGAATACGATATGAGGACGGCTAATTCGTGCGTAGATTACGTGGGAGATCATGTCAAATGAAAGTTTAGGATAAGAGTGGCTGACCTCAAGTAATTGCAATAAAGGCGAGGAACAAAAATATGAATATGTGCTCCAATCGACATAGTGCTAGGTAGTCAAATTAGCAGATATAGTCAAGAAATTCAAAATTTTCTTCTATTCTCTCTTATTATTAATTTTATTTATTCAATAGTCCGAAAATAGAAATTTATTTTTTCGAATCGAAGTGTTTTATATAGAATAAAGTTTTACTAGTTTATTATCTATTACCTGCAGGTAATAAGTAACCTCCAACTGAAATTTCTTCTTCAATATATCGGACAGTGAAGGGTGTAGATGAGCGGATTCGAAGAGTTTCATTAATAACTTGTTCAAGGTATTTCATTTGATGCAAATCCTCGTAAGTCGGTCTACGATTGGGATCTCCACTTGAAAATATCATGTTTTGTTCCACAAATACCTTATCATTAAAGTTCACAAATAAAATATTCAATTGTTAGAAGAATAGTAATTTTACCATATTTTGAATATCTGAATGATAAGACATTAAGAATATTATATTAGAAATCGTAATAGATGCGGTATCAGATCCAGCTAAAAATTACAAAATAAAAATATTTAAAATAAGATTTTATATTTATTTTACACGAATATACCTCCAAGAAAGACGTGAGCTAAATTTCGAGTATCTTCATCTGTCAAATCGTCAAATTTTTCCATTATTTCAATAAACGTATTTCCTTTAGTTTTATCAATATTTTCCTTAACTTTCTCTATTTCACTTCTCTTGAATAACTTATTAATATAATTGTGTAATATAATGATATTTTTTATGTTTTTTTTATAAAACGTTGATATTTTAAAAATAGACTTATTGAAATACCATGGATTGAAAATCCTATAAATTATTATCTAACATAAAACAAATCAGTATCATTAAATACTATATAAAAAAATTAGTCATTTTGTATAAAATTATCACAACTTTTTAGCTTCGATGCAAAGCTACCAAGGTATTAATTTTACTATGATGTGATTTTTTTTGTGTCTGATACCACTCAATATCAGCTCTCACTGAGCCAAATTTGATGAACAATAGGTCAAAAGATCATAAATTGTATCTAGTCGAAGACATTACCCTCAAAAAATGAAAAAAATTAACTCATTCCCCGTAAATGGAGGAAATTCCCCAAAAAGTTAAAATTTTTAAAATCGGTAATTTTCGACTTTTTTAATTTTTTTTTTCTTATAACTGCCATATTTTTTTAAAAATGAACAAATCAATATAATTTTTTTTTCTAAATACCATAGGTGTTTAACTATCATTTAATATATTTTTGTGAACATTTGATCCTTTACCTGCCCAAAGGGAGGGTTTCAAAATGGTAACTTTTTCAACTTAACTATTGAAAATTTTCCGGAAAGACTGAAACTTTTATATATATTTTAAATTAAAGCTTATAAAATATACTTTAATTAAAAAAAAAATTGACCTCTGGACTTGTCTTCGTAGTGAAAACAGACATCAAAATTTAAGAAAAACGTATGATTTCCATAAATAAATTTTAGATTTTATGTTTTTAAATTTATATTGCTATAACAAGCTTCTTAGGTCCTCCTGTACATGTTACAAAAAAATTTGGAATATTATAGAATATGATCAATTATTTTTAATATATTTGGATATTGATTCTGAATACAATTAAATAATAAAACATTAAAAGTTTTAATAAATATTTAAATTCTTAATTTACTACACTCTAGTATATAGTGAACTACCGAATTTATTATTTCAAATTTCAATAATAGAAACTAAGTTATAAATGAAAATATTTTAAGCAACAAGTTCAAAAATTTAATTAAACTAAACTATTAAACTTCAAATAAATGTAGTACTATAGCAAATTTTATGTTAGACCTAACATAAACTAAGTAAAAAATGTAATATCAAAACTTTCAGATTATGATGAAATTAATTTTTTTTCCCATACACTATAAATATATGTTAATGATTTAATATTTAACATGGTGTATTAAATTGATGTATATTATAAGAAGCAATCTCATTTTATACCACTTAAGTTTAAACTTAAGTTTCTCAGATTTAAGTGTGCCCTAGGATTAGGATTACTTAAAAAAATCATAACTCGAAGTTATAGGTTATCATGAAAACCATTTGTGTCATGTGAATTTTATTATACGTTTAAAGCTGTTGCTATTCCTAAAAATCCTTATATTTTATGTTTCATTTGTTCAAAGTATAAAAACTTAGTTTTATTTCCATTCATATCCATCCTATCCTTCTTTATAAGAAAAATAATTTGAAATCTTTAATTATTTTAATTTATTAAGTAGCACAATCATGATCAGAATTCTAAATTTCTAAAAAAATGATCTGAGTACACAATACATGTATTATTGATGTCTCACTTTGTGATACATTTATTTTTAAGACCACTTAATTATTGTTTCATCAAACCTTCAAATACAATAAAGCATTTCTTTATTTTAAATTTTGTTCAGTGATATTATTAGTTAATATTATCTTCTTTTTCTTCCTCGCCTTAATCCCAACTACTTGGGTCGGCCACCCTTATCCTAAACTGTGTGAGTTTATTAAATAAATTTAAGTCGCATAAGTTCAAAAATATGAGCTTTTTAATTTTCTCAACAAATATTTAACTTACAAAAAAAAATTTCGTACAAAAGTTGTTTAAAAGACAATTATAAATAAAAAAATTATCTTATATTTTTCATTTAAATAAATATTTTTCGAGTTACATTACATTTAATATGAGTACTAAAATTTATATTCCATTTTTTTCATTTTACGGTTACTTTTTATCATGTTATACTTACATTAGACACAATGTTATAAATGCATATGTGTGTATGTGTGAGTTTATTTATTAAATTTTATTTATTGTATCATTAAAGTGTAGTGTATATTAATATACAACCGATAGAGTAGGTAATTGATTTGACGCTATATTGTTTAAACCCAACTAAACGCTAAATTGTACATTCCCAAACAACAATCATATTATGTCAATTGCCACCGGAATTTCTGGTAATCTTTTGTTTTTTTTTTGCTTTAATTCCAAATACTTGGGGTCGGCCACCCTTATTCTAAGTTTCCACCTGACACGATCTCCTACGCTCACATCAGCTGTCCTCATATCGCATTCAATAAAATCCCTCCATCTCTTTTTTGGTCTTCCTCTACCTCTTCTTCCTTCAACATTCTTTTTTATAACTGTTTTTACAGCTTCCGATTCTTCTTTCCTCATAACATGACCAAACCATCTAAGTCTATTTTCTCTTATCTTTTCCACGATTGACGCTACACCAATACTTCCTCTTATATGCTCGTTCCTTATTCTATCTTTTCTAGTCACTCCACTCATCCAACTAAGCATTCTCATCTCTGCTACACTTATTCTCTGCTCTACTTTCTTATCAACCGCCCAACNACTCTACTTTTTTTTCAACCGCCCAACACTCTGAACCATACATCATAGCTGGCCTTATTACAGTCTTGTAGAATTTACCTTACAGACTCATTGGAATTCTTTTATCGCATAAGACACCAGACGCTTCTTTCCACTTCAACCACCCACACTAAATTCTTTGTCTTACATCCTCGTCAATACCACCACTCTTTTGCACAACTGACCCTAAATACTTAAAACTTTCCACCTCTCCAATCACGTCCTCGCCTATTGTCACTGACCTCCTCATTTCACCTACCTCGTGTTCTCCTTTGTCAAACTCGTACTCTATATACTCTGTCTTACTTCTACTTATTCTTAAACCCTTTTCTTCAAGAGCTGATCTCCACAATTCTAGCTTTTGATTAATTTCCCCACTATTTTCTCCTATCAACACTATATCATCAGCAAACAACATGCACCACAGCACCTCTAGCACCTCACAGCACCAAGTGCCATCATACATATCCTCTATTATATTAATGTACCTTTTCGGGACTCCTTTTCTCATTAATGCCCACTTTAAAACCTCTTTCGGTACTCTGTCATACGCTTTCTCCAAATCTATAAATACCATACACAGCTTTTTCTTCTTTTCCCTAAACTTTTCTATTAGTTGCCTCACAAAAAATACTGGCTCCATTGTTAACTTACCAGGCATAAATCCATTGGTTTGGTTTTTAAATACCGATGTCTCATTTCTTATTCACTTATCTATTATCTTTTCCCAAATTTTCATACTATGACTCATAATCTTTATGCCTCTATAATTTCCACACTCGTGTATGTCTCCTTTACCTTTAAATATCGGGACCATAGTACTATTCCTCCATTCATTTGGAATTTTCTTTCTAATACGATTTTATTCCAAAGTTCCTTCAATCACCTTATGCCAACATCGCCAAATATTTTCCATACTTCTATTGGCACTTCATCTAATCCTACTGCTTTATTCTTTTTAATTGATGCCACAACCTTCCATACCTCTTTCTCACTAATTAAATCTATTAGTCCCTCATTCCACGAAATATCCTCTAATGTCTCTTTTGGGTAATCCTCATTCAGTAATTTTTCAAAATACTCTGTCCCCCTTTCTTTCACATCATCATCACTCGAGAGTACCTTATTATCAACATGTTTTATAATGATAATCTTTAGACCTTTTCTCTCTTACCTTTGTTCCTAACCTATCATACAATACATCATACCTCTTAACTTCTTCTTACTTACTGCACAATTGGCTTCTTTGCACAAGCGCTTATACTCCATCCAATCTTCTCTCTTTTTGCTCTTTTGCTATACTTTTAATTGCTTTTTCTTACTTTCTATGATTTTTTGAACGTCCTCATCCCACCACCGGGTTTCCTTGTTTTCTGGCATTCTACTCATACACTCACCAACAATCTCCTTTGTAGTATTCTTTTCACAACTAACAATTCTATTCCACATCATTTATGTCTCCCTCGACACTCCACACCGTCATCTCTTTTACCGTCTTTACAAACACTTTTTCAATTTCCCCTTTCTATTTCCACCACTGGATCTTCGATTTTCCCCCCGTGATTCTTCTATTTTTGTTTATTCTTTTTGGTACACCACAACACCATTACCATCAGTTTATGTTGTAATTAGTAATAATATCATAAAAATTATAAGCGATAGAAAAAGTCTAATAACAGATTTGAAAACATCGCAAAAAGTTGAATTAGAAAAGTATATTTTTATTTCTGATAAAACTTTCTTGTATAAAACTTATTACTTTGTTATAAATAACTAATATTTTTTATTGGAAAGTATTGTATCAAGCCCTTTAAATTTATATACGCGTTAAAAGTAAAGAAATATACTTTAAAATAAAATATAACTACTTTATTATTTTTATAATATCTCTGTAAAAATTATAATATTAAATTATTGAATATCAAGTTCATACTAAATTTAATTACTATAATTATTATTTATTCATATATTAAAATCAAATAACTAATCAGGATAAAATTAAAGTAATAAGACTTATTGCTCAATTTCTCCTTTCATTATTCATTCTCCATGGTTTCATAACCTTGACTTATCCAGAAATATCATTTCTCAGTTTTCTAGACTTAGGTTAGGTCATAACTAACTGTCCAGTTAACTGTCTAATACATATTGTATTTTTTGGGTTATTGCCTGTATAATTTATAATAAATAAATAATCTTCTGCCTTACTATGCATTCCATCTTTCCTTAAATTCCGTTCCCTTCTGTCCCCTACATAATAGTGAAGCTCTATGCGATTTTTCTCATCTTCTCTTTGATTGTCCTGCCCTAATTAACAGCAGAAATAAACTATTCAGCTTCTTAACCTCCCAAAATATTAATCCCTCTTCCGTAGCTAATACTCTTAATTCGCGTTCTTCCTTTATTATTTCTTCAATCATATCTTTCTTGAGGACTTCTTTATACCATTATAACATAGCACTGTTATTGTTATACTTCTAATTTAATTATTTTTTCTTTGTTTATAATTGTTGAGCTAAATATTATTTTAATAAAGGCTATAATAAAAAAAAAATAAGTTATTGTTGCTTTTGAAATAATCTACCAATTTCTTAAAATTAACAGTATCTACAGATTTGCATCGAAGCGTTTCTTATTATAGTGATTTTAATCATTGTCAGATATCATCTATACATGTCCCAACTATGCCACTTCCATACTGTGCCGCGACTCCACTGTGCTATCGTTCTTTTTTTTAATTTTCATCATCTCGTTTTAATTGTAAATCATAGATAAACTTAAAATTATTAATCTACTTTTTATGTTATAATACATATTTTATGGGAAAATATTATAAATATTGATAAACATTTAAACAAAACAAAATATTTTTTTACTTAAAGACATGCGTAATTTGTGGTAAAATTACTTTTATAATAGCAGTAAAGATTACTCTATTAAGTCTAAAAAAAATTTACAAAAAAATAAAACCCAGCACAGTGGTAACGTAGCATAGTTGGATCAAGTATAATGATATCTGACAGTGATTAAAATCACTATCATAAAAAACGCTTCGATGCAAATCTATAGATAGTGTTTAATTTTAAAAAATTGATGGATTATTCCAAAAGCTACATGACATGCTAGTTCCTTATTAATATCCTGATTAAGATAAAGTATGTCGAATGAAAAAGGGATTCTTAAAAAATATTATTTCTCATAAAAAATTGTGTTGATCCATACACTTTTCAATAAGTTATAGCATTATAAAGTTAAAAATATAAAAAAGAATTATTTTACAAATATCGTAATTTTTTTATTAACTTTGATGTCCAGAGGTCAAATTTTTTTTTCTATAATAAAGTATATTATATTACCTTTAATTTAAGATATATATATAAGTGTCAGACTTTCCGGAACATTTTCAAAAGTCAAGATGAAAAAGTTAATTTTTTGTGAAAAAGTTGTCATTTTAAATCCCTATGGGCAGGTAAAGGGTCAGATTTATAAAAAAAATATACCAAATGAAAGGTAATAATATCATGCATCTATATACAAAAAAATTAATTTATTACAATTAACAAAAAAATGATCGTGAAAAAGTTGCCATTTTGTGGACCCTTCCTGTAGACTGGTAAAGGGTCAAATGTTCACAAAAATATATCAAACGATAGATAAATACTTAAGGTATTCATAAAAAAAAAAAATATTGATTTGGTTATTTTTAAAAAAGTTATGACATTTTAATTTAAAAAAATTGAAAAAATTTCGAAAATTAGCGATTTTTAAATTTATAATATTTTGGGAGGTTTTCCCCATTTACGGGGAACGAGGGAATTTTTGAGGGTAATGTCTTCGACTAGATACGATTTGTGATCTTTTGACGTATCATTGAAAGAATTCGGTTCGGTGAGAGCTAAGAAAAAGTGGTAACAGACACAAAAAAAAAAACACATCTTAGTAAAACCAATACCTTCTCAGCTTCACATAGAAGCTAAAATAGAATTTGAGATATCACTTAATATTTAAATAATAAATAATTTTATAAACAAATTACGTTTAATGTATCTTTCATATTTTGAATAATAATATCATGATTCACATCAATTTCCCTGGCAATATTTTCACCAAAAATTGCTGCTTCATAGGTTTTAAGGTGCATTTTATGAATTGGAATATATATTTCACAATCATTCGTTTTATCCTGTTGTATTGGCTTAAAATAATCAACAAGAGCCACAGCTTCCTTACTAATTAATGATGTAAATGTCTTCCCATTATTGAATGATATACATTTAAAGGCGGCATACCTGAAGCGTATAAAAATTAAATAATGAAAGAAATTAAAAAATCTATATTAGAGAACTGTATCAAGTTTACACACATAAACTATTTATCAAGGAATTTAATTTGGATAAAATATTATGATGCCATTTTATTTATTATGTAATTAAGGAAACTGTTATATCATTACACTTTTTTTTGAAAAAAATATAAATGGTCCATTAAAGTGTTTTTCTACAATAAACTATCTTTCTTATCCTATTAATACTGAATAATTTAATTCAAACTACGTATGTATGAAAATGTTTATATAATTTGATCTATTCTTACAATACCAGAAAATATTATTTAAAATAGATAAGATAAAAAAATGACGGAGAAATGTTTTGCAAATAAGTATATTCTACAAATGATTTGGTTGGAATAATAATTAAAATTATTTATTACCTATGAATCTTCCATTTTTGTAAATCATCAAATGTCGATATATTATCTCCTACACAAGATTCTCGTAATGGATTTAGGATAATTCCTTTTTTTTGCAAATTAGGGTGATTTAAAATTGCACATATATCTTCTGGTTTTGTAGGAACTATGCAAAGAAAAGGTCCGAACCAAATTTTAAATAATGACTTTTCGTATCTATAAATTATATAATGTTAGAAAAAAGAAATTGTATTTTATTATAATCTTTTTTTACGTTAATAGTGTTTTTAAATAGGAGGACTGGGGGAACTATGGTCAGTGGGTAATACCGGTTATCTCATTATCTAATAAACCCATGCATCTAAAATTATATTGACCATATCTATAGATTAAGAATGATAAAAAAACCTTATTCTTATTAGAACTATATTATCAAAAAACGTTTACCCTTTAAATGTGCGAAAATAGTTTTCAGCGTTTATTTATCTAAAAGAACTTTTTTTAGAGAAATTTAATTAAAGGTAAGCAAATTATTATATATCTATAATTTATATGAACTATATTTAAGTGATTTTTTTAAAAATTCTTTTATCCTTATCTTTTTGCATGTATTTATGTATTGCCAATATTCCCCGGGGGTAGGGGGAATATCGGTCATTTGCATTAATAAAAAAATATATATTTATATATAATATAAGATTATGTTTTAAAAATCTGAGACTTTGACATAATGTAGCTAATATGGTTATGCATCCATTTGTTGTAATAGCATAACATTTAAAATCTTAGAACAAGAGGTATAACAATTTTTGCTAAGATGACCGTAGTTCTCCCAGTCACCACTACTAGTTAAAAATTTAACAAATTTTATCTGTAAGGTTTTAACGAAAATATAAATTTAACTTACTGACTATATATATCATTTATAGTTTTAATGATAGACTCTGGTCGATTAATGACATTTAGTAACAATTTTAAGACATACCACCAACGAGGACCAGGCAATCGATTGGCCAATATAATTTTCCGTAGAATATTAAATTTGAATATTAATAAAAATGAACCAATTATTAAAAATAAATTCATTAATGACCATAGTACTGATTTTTTATAGTCATCCATGTCCTATATACATAAATATTCATTAGCTGTTATCTATTTCTGTTGCGCCATGACACTCCTAAATTAACGGTTGGCGTTAATAGCTTTATTATGATACAAGTATAATAAATTTTTAGGACAGGGGAACCAAATATTATAATGCGTACCCGAACCGGCCAAACGCGCTTAATATCGATCAGACGTGTAAATAAAGTCATTAGAGGTGGGAGAGTTCGACAAAACCAGTGATCTATGTTGTGAATAAATGTGTAATTGTGTTTTTGTTTTGTGTGTTTAGAACTCTTAAATTAATTAATGTAAATTAAATTTGAATTAAGTGTAATAATATTTTTAATAATCATAAAACAAGAGTGTATATTTAGCTAATCAACAATAATAAAAATATAAACTCTAAAAAATATCGTTAGCCTTACACCTACAATGAAATAAATAATAAATTAGTAAAACTTGTAATAGTCTGTTCAATAAATCACAATGAATAATAATTACACTGAATTACAAAAAGGAACACAAAAATCAATAATATTACTCACAATTCGCAGAGCTACTGGCCAGAGATGCTACCTAAAACTAAAACACGGAACACGACAATAACAAATCAACTTAAGAAACTACAATTTCGATAATAAAAATTTATATATCACAATTAACTAGATTAATTTTTCTAATTAGTAGCAACAAATCACAATAAAATATTACGTCAGCTAATTAGTAGCTTTTAAAGAGGTCATAATTAGTGCAACAAAATTTACTCTACTTAATTTAAACTGTACATTTACGATACAATGATAGTAAATAACTTGTTCTTTTTAACACGCTTATATTAGTTTCACCTGTATGTATGTATGTTAGTAACTCCATGCGCCACGTGTTATTATTCTTGCGTAACTCGTCATCTATGGTCTTGAGATTAGACTGTTGTAACACATTCACCCCACCCCACACCACGCTTATCACATGCTGGCAACACTATTCCTGTATAAATTTATTTTTGGTTATCGTACCCGTACACGTGTGCGTGCCATCAATATTATATATATATATAAACAAATTTTTATTGTTTATGATTAGATATAAGCATTAAAAGATTCAATTTTTTTTGAGTTAATATACATGTATAATATATAAGGAATTACAAATACAGATAGCTAATTGTTTTTTATAACGATATTAGCAAGCATATAGCATTTATTATCAATGGTAATAAGACTACATTGTTGTGAGTTTATAAACACACTAACTGACAATACAGAAATTAAATCTATTGATAGTGATAATTGACAATACACACTCCGTGACTACGATAGCGATGTCATAAAAAACTAAAAAGTAAAAAATAAATATAGTTAAAAAAAAAAGAAAAACACGCTTTTAAAGCATATCGAACTAAAAAGTTAAAAATAATTTTTATAATAAGTTTGAAACAATAATGAACGAAAAATACTAGTATTGTCAAAAAAAGCATGGAGGCTTTATGCCATATTTTTCGTATATTGAGTGTCTGACGTTTTTAACACGCTTATATTAGTTTCACATGTATGTATGTATGTATGTTTGTAACTCTCCAAACGCCACGCGTTATCGCATATTCCGTCGTCTAGACTAGACTGTCATAACGCATTCACCCCTCCTCACGCCTCGCTCACCACACGATGGCACACTATTCCTATAAAAATTTATTTTTAGTTATCGTACCCGTACACGCGTGCTTGTCATCAATATTATATATATATAAACAAATTTTTATTTTGACTGACCAATACCGCCCGCGTCTAATGCGCCTTACGTATATATATTTATATATTCCTACCACCGTTTATACCTCAGGTATAACGTTAGTCCGACCCGCCCGCCCACAAAATACGGTTATACCTAGTGCATGATACGTTTACGTACTTAAGTTGCATTATTTATATATATATATATTCTAATTACTATTAAAATTTATATATTAACACGATTTATTCTAATAAAGTGATATAAAGTATTCATTCCGATTACGAGGGATGATTCCCGTATCGTCATTTTTCGTCACTACCTCCATGTTCCGGGAGTGGGTAATTTACGCGCCTGCTGCTTTCCTTGGATGTGGTAGCCGTTTCTCAGACTCCCTCTCCGGAATCGAACCCTCATTTCTCGTTACCCGTTACAACCATAACTACTATCATAACTTGAAACTAAAAAGTAAAAAATAAATATAGTTTAAAAAAACTAAAAAAACACGCTTTTAAAGCACATCGAACTAAAAAGTTAAAAATAATTTTTAAAATAAGCTTAAAACAATAATGAACGAAAAATACTAGTATTATTGTAATAAAAGCGTGGGTGCTTTGTGCCATATTTTTCGTATATTGAGCGCCCGACGCTTTTATTACAATAATACTAGTATTTTTCGTTCATTATTGTTTTAAGCTTATTTTAAAAATTATTTTTAACTTTTTAGTTCAATGTGCTTTAAAAGCGTGTTTTTTTAGTTTTTTTAAACTATATTTTTTAACACGCTTATATTAGTTTCACATGTATGTTTGTTGTTTGTTGTAAGTTTGTAACTCCACGCGGCACGTGTTATTATGTCGCGTATCCCGTCGTGTATGACCTTGAGACTATACTGTTGTAATGCATTCGCCCCACCCCGCTCACCACTCGTAGACAACAATATTTTCTAACCCGTAGACGCGCGCGCGTCATCAATTATGNATTGTGATAAAAGCATGGGTGCTTTGTGCCATATTTTTCATATATTGAGCGCCTCACGATTTTATCACAATAATACTAGTATTTTTCGTTCATTATTGTTTTAAGTTTATTTTAAAAATTATTTTTAACTTTTTAGTTCGATATGCTTTAAAAGCGTGTTTTTTAGTTTTTTTTAACTATATTTATTACTAAAATGAATTTATGTTTTTACAAAAAAAATACAAGTTTCAACAATAGAAAACAAAAATGTATATTAACTGGTTATTACGAAATACAATACTCTACTATACTATACTGTGTTTATGTGCGTAAGTGGTGTGTACATGTGTAACAGCAAATCGCCCGGTAGTACGGATAACTACTAGAGATGTTAAGTTCGTGAAAGAATAGTTCATTTGAAATATTCACTTAGATGAACTATTCTGAACTGTTTCAGTACCTGTAACTTAATAGTTCACAGTTTGAAAAAAATTGGTAGCAATGTATAAATGAAATAGTTCGCGAACTTCTTTAAAAATTCTCTGTGGTTCGTTGTTCGAAATCCTGTAAATGGTTAATAGCTGTTTACAATTAGATAACAAATAAATTATATTGTTAAAATGTTACACGGTTATTAACAGTTTAAGAATTAAATAAATTCATACAATGTACAAATATTAGATCAGATTTCTGATTTCACTTATAACTACTGGTCAATATACCCATCTTGGATTAGGTGATAATGATAACATGAGCCATGTGGGTATTGATAATAATTTTTGCTTTTTTTATGATGTTCAGGTTAAGGTATAAGGATAGTTTATAACTTAATTGCCCATAAGTAGTATGAACTACTATTGAACTGTGTATCGCTGTACTAATAGTGATAAAATGTATAGTTATTGCCAAACAATATCAGCATGATAAATAAAATTAGTGAACTTAAGAATAGTTCATTTGAATAAACTATGAACTAATGAACTATTCACAGAAATGAACTAAACTTCCCATCTCTAATAACTACACTACCGGATGTAGTTGGAATCATGCGTTGACCGCATGAACCGATCCGAGTACGTAATTATGGATAACAACTGTAATATAGTTAACAATAAATATTAATATATTTAATAAAATTATATTGACAGACCTAAAAATTCGCAAATAATTTAAAAACACCTTTATAATCTATACATAACTTAAGTACATACAAATTAATCACTAATACAAATAATTGATAAGTAAAGGATTAATTACAATTATACAACAGTAATATTAATAGTGTCGTAATATAATCGTCAGTATTACTTATACGGGACAACACTAAAATACCCTGTTCATGTACTCAACAATGCTATCTTTTTAGTATTTATTAATATATTCTTTTTTCATTTCAAATAGTCACCACTTCTGTCCATAGAAATGGTACATTTTAAATTGTTTCATTATACATTATATTCTTACAAGGACATAATCCTTTTCGAACAAAAATTTAGATAAACATTTAAGAGAAATAGTCAACAAACTCGCACTGTTTGGCTACATTGTAGTGTATGCAGTTCGGTCATAAATAAATTAATAATTACTTTTAAAATCCTTCCTCACCAAAAGAAAATCTAGATATTATTTTTGTCATCTTTGTTATTCTACTATTGATAGTTATATGCATTGTATTAATCTTCGTCTTACTTGTAAAAAAACATGTTAATGTATATATGTAAATGTCAAAATAATGTTCTATTTATTTGTATTGATCTCTGTGTTTCATGCTTATTTATCAATAAACAATTATAATAAATAAAAATTCGACAGTGACGATTTTTTGGGGTAAAAAAATATTATAAAAAGCCAGAGCTAACCCTTGCTCCCGACTGTTCTTTTCGTGCTCCGTATTAAGCTATGCGAACGTCGTGATCGTCATTGTCGAAGTTTTTATGTGTTAATTTGTGAACTAAAAATTTGAACTTGTGTTACTTTATTTATCATTTTTACCAATATCATCACTAAGGATATTATAAGAACCAGAGAATTCACCAGGTAAGATTTTTTTAAATCCATAAGAAAATTTACATTGTTATTTTATGACCCTCAAATTACACCCCGAATCAAAAGTAACTCTCACTCACATTTTTTTAATTCCAACAAATAATAATATTCTGACCTTTTTTACTTATATATTTTTTTTATATTTTTTATTAATTTTTTAGTTACGACAAAGTGGCGCCCAACTATAAGCTTACTTAATTTTAACTAAGGGTTATAACTTAACATTACAATAACAAAACAAAAAAAAAACACACTTTTGACAAAAAAATATAAAAACAAGAAAGCGAATCAAATTTGAGTAGCCAATTTTGAGATTAATATTTTCAAATTTGTAGTTCGTATTGCTAGCGAATAATAATTTAAGAATATAATTAAACAAAAATTTTCATTACCACAAAAAATGATAATATCTTAAATTTTTAAGTATAAGAAAAATAATTTTAGTGTAAAAAAAAAGTTTTATTGCATACTAAAATTATTTCAATTAAATTAATATTAATAAAAAAAAAATTTAATATATAAAAATAAATAATGGAAAATAATTCTATAACTAAGGTAGTAGATAAAATTGTTTTAGAAGGTGAAACTGAAGAACAAATAAAAGCTATAGAGTATATAAAAAGACTTAAGAGAGCTGAGTTAATAATTTTTTTAAAAGTATTTAGAAACTAAATCAACATTAAAAAAAAAAAAAGAAAGTTTTAAAATATACATAGCGATTATATTGGAAAAGAGTTTATACTAGAAAACTTTTTTAATTGTAAATAAATATATAACAAGAAAATAAATGGAAATTTATTCTATAATCCACAAATTTTTTCGGGCGGTAGAAATGAGAGAATAGATGTATTTTTAAAATCATTCAATAGGACTTCGGAAATCAATGGTTGGTCAGAAAACGATAAATCGCTTTATTTAGTAGCTTTTTTGCAAGATGCAGCTCTTACTTTTTATGATAATATTGAATTAGAAAATTTGTCATGGATCGAATTAGAAAAAAAATGTATGAAAGAGTTTGAAACACATAGTTTTATTTTACGTTCAATGTTATATCATAAAAGACAGAAAGATGATGAGCGAACAGTAGTTTTTGTTAATGATGTTATAGTTTTATGTAGAAGAATTGATAATAATATGTTAGAAGAAGAAATGTGATGAAAGGCTTAAAACCATGTATTATTAGATCTATTGGGATGCTTGAGAATCGTAATTTAGATGAGTTAAAAAGGAATATTCGAAAATACGAAATGATAGAATTTATGATCGCTGAAGAGACAATTAGTAGTCCACCTAAAATAAAAGAGCCTGTAATAAATAAAAAAATTAATAATATTTCCCAAAGTAATGATTTTTATGAATTTCAAAAATTAACTAATGAAATTGGAACTGTGAAACAAAGGCAAGAGGAATTTTTTAATGACAACATTAATTTAAAATCACACAATAACCAATTTAAATATCATGATGTATCAATCAATAAAGAAGAAATTACACTTCAATATTGAAAAATCAAAAGGTTAATTCCATAAGCTTCAAAGTAGAAAACCCAAAGAACACATCACTAACAATTTTAGGTGAAACAACAATTATTTTACAAATAAATTCTGTATTTTATCACATTAAGGCTTATGTTGTTAACAACTTGCCTTGTTCTATACTTTTAGGTCAAGACTTTTGACTAAAAAATAGTAGTGTCATTGCTTCTAATGAAAAAATCATAACTTTACCTAATAAAACTTCAATACCAGTATTTCTTGATAATACTTTAAATTGTGATCAATTAAATATAGAATTTTATGATAAAAGTATCACCAAAACTAATTAAATGTTATAATAATAGGCACTAATAAGGAGAGGCAAAAAAGATTTTACGTCCGAAAATTGGAATCGCTCTTCTTTCCCCTCCAAAAAAAAAATTTAAGGGATCACACCAGTTATATAACTGGGGTTGTTCTATTTCAAAGCCCCCTTCCTTACCTTTATGAACCTATTTTATCAAAAGTCGGCTATATTTCGAGGACCTTTATTGTAATAATTATTCGTTAATATACAGTAATCAATTATAACGCTATTTTATTATATTAATTAATATTTATTAATTAGAGATAAGAGTTATATTTTTCCATCAGATAATATATTGCTACGATACTTATCTAATCCGAAATTTCATAATTTTTTAATCGATTTCGCGAACAATCGATATTCGGAGCAATCAATGAATAGTCCTATTCGGAGTATTCTTCGTCGTAGTAAAATCCAAATTTTGTAACCAGGTATTCGTAGTAATTGTTATCGGAGTAAATGTATTCGGAGGATTTTTTTATAGTGTCGGAGTATATGAATGTAGGAGCATTATCAGTTCGTGTCAATCTCCATAACCCATAAAATTCAGTAGTGATCAAGATGATAAAGAATTAAATTCTGCTTCCGAAAGCTGGTTAAACTGTTTCCATGATAACATTTGATAACAATTTAATGAACGGCCATATACATTTGGACACATTTTCACAACGTTGGACTATCACGAATAATTTTAATATTTTATTTTGATTGAATCGTCTTCATATTAGTGAACGGTAAGTTTTTATGTCTTTTTGTTAGTAATTATTTATAATTTATTATATTAGAATTTTTTGTAATAAATTTTATATTGTTAAAAATAAAATGATATAATTAAATTTTACATAATCCTTTCTTACAAATCGTAGTGTTAGTTCGATAATGTATTTTAAGAAATGTTTTATTTCTACAATATTAATTCAATAATGAAATTATCCTTTCAATATAAAGTTAAAAATTTTATTTTTGATATTTATTTAATATCAAACTAGTTTTTATTGTAAAAGTTTTGGTGCTATTCACGCGTTCTTACATTTTGAGGTTATGTTATTTTGTTCTCATTTCTGTTACAGAGACTTTCAATATGCAGATATTTGTAAAAACTTTAACGGGTAAGACCATTACCCTTGAAGTTGAGTCTTCTGATACAATTGAAAATGTAAAAGCTAAAATTCAAGACAAAGAAGGAATTCCACCTGATCAACAGCGATTAATCTTTGCTGGTAAACAGCTTGAAGATGGACGTACATTATCAGATTATAACATCCAAAAAGGTGAAATATTATATAAACTCTAATTATTTTTTGGATAAACAAAAAGTTTTACTTATATAATATATGTATATATTATATTCATTTACCTAAGGTCTCAATTTTTTTGGAAATGTGTTATTTTTTCAAAATTAAATTTTTATTAAAAAAAAAAATATAAATGTTGCTTATACCACTTATCCTGTTTTATATCTACTAAACTCCTTATGAGTAAACTTTTTAACTCTGAATTTTTGATAAATCAGTAAAATTATTATTTGTTACTTTTAATTATATTTATTTTTCTTTTAACTGACATAAATATTTATGATATTTTTATGAAATTATTAAAGTGTTAATTGCAGTATTACAGAATTTCTCAACTTATTTACTATTGGCATCCATTATTAAAATTTTAATTTCTTTAGGAACCCGTACATTAAGTTCAATCATGTATAAACCACATGTCGAGGACCTTTAATAATTAGTTCAAAACTGTTAAATTGAGAAACCCTGGCATATTAAATAAGTTTACTTAGATATTATTAATATTAAATAATATTCACTGTAACTTTTTGATTAAAATATATATGTGTTCTAAGTATATTTAACAAATATACTGGTGATTTATACAGAAAATATAATTTTAGTTTTTTTTTTAGTTAATTATAATAATTTTATTAAAAATTTTAGAATCAACTTTACATTTGGTATTACGTCTCCGTGGTGGTGTTATTGAGCCTACTTTACGTTTGCTGGCCCAAAAATACAACTGTGATAAGATGATATGCCGTAAATGTTATGCTCGTCTTCATCCAAGAGCAACTAATTGCCGTAAAAAGAAATGTGGACACACTAACAACTTGCGTCCCAAAAAGAAGCTTAAGTAAACATGCTTGCTAATATGCTGGGAAAACATTACTCGTTTACTCAGTTTAAATTTTTTATTCAATGTTGTATTTAAACATCAATAAACCAATAAGAACCAAAAAAATGTTTTTGTTATATTTTTTTTCCTGATAGCTTTACTTTACATTTACTGTTCACATATAAACATAAAGAAGACGACAAATTAATTTCAAAGAAATTGTCACTTAAAATTGAAAAAGTACCTGAATTTTTAGCAACAAATTTTCCAACTTCATTATTCATTAAACAGTCCTTGAACTTATTCAAAAGATATGGTATTAACACAAATTTTTTAGATATAGACCCAGCAGACTGGGAAAAAGACTCCTTCTATATATTAGGAAAAAAACATGTTAATAGACTAAAAATCGTCAATGACAGTACTGAGAGAGGTATTAAACTCATGGAAGATTATAACAACAAACACACCAAAAATTAAAATCAAAACAATTCTTATTACAAGTTATTTAAACAGCAATATATTTGTAATAAAAATATTTAGCTTAACTTACTTTTCATTTTTATTTAAGGTAATTCAAAAATACAGAAAAACGTATCCTGAGTGTACAAAACAGGCTCTAGAAACTCCGTTCAAATTAAATTGATACTTAACTAAAGTTTTTAATCGGAAATAAACTTATACTTAATTATTTATTTTAATCGATAGTTCGCATATTGCAAGTGTAAAAAAAATTAGTTCTGTTTTTATTTATTTGTTATTTTCGCCAAATGATGAGACAAATTTCGAAATAAAAAAGAAATGATGAATTAATTTAAAATTTTACAATATATCATTTTTACTTAAAATATTATTTTAAGTATATTTTATAAGAAACTTTTTGTTGTAAATTCGACAATACGTAAGATACGAACAAAATAATAGAAAAGAACCGATTTTCTAAAATAATTAAATTATTCCATTTTTTTAAATTTTGCAGACTAAATAATGGTCTAATCAGGAAATATGTCATGACATATTTTAAAGAACAAGTTTAGATCTACAAATTAATATTTGAACATTATTTTGTACTATTTTTTGTTATTGAAATATAAGCAAAAAACTATAAAACTACGCCATTTATCCAATTTTCAACCCTTTTGCGGCACGGGAAGGGGTTAATCAATCACGATAAAACTTCTCCGAAATGTTTTACTTATAGTAATAAAAAAATTTAGGGGGTCCTGCAAACAAAATTTTTAACTTCAAATTTGAGGACCACCCTAATATATATATATATAAATGTAATAATTATACATAACAAAGTCTTAAAAAATTATGGCATTTTCTATTATATTTCAGTGTAGTTATTATCAAATATTGTAAAATAGTTCAAAATTTTTAATACATATAAGATCTCCATATTAAACCTGTTTGACAATTTTAGTTTAATAAAAAAAAAATTGTTCGATGTTTTGAAATTTACGCTATTTTTAATTTAACGCTATTTAAATTTAACGCTATTTTCTTAGTTAACGATAAAGTAACTAACAATATTTTTTCCGTTTACATTTTACTCATCTAATTTTCATATCTCAATGAATATCAACCTATTTCTGCATTTCCAGTCTTATTATTTAATACACATTCTATGTACTCAGTATCATCTAAATCATAATTATAAATAAAAAAAACATAAAGTATTGTATTAATGTAACATATCATATTTTTTTGTTTGTTTTACTTCTTTATGAAAACAGTGATGTACCCAAGGGTTGGCATAGGGCTAAAGCTATCTCTTCCCATGGGCCAATTATTACAATAAACAGTATAAAATTTAATGCCAGTATGTAATAAGCCAAAAAAAAGTTTTAAAACGCCCATAAGAAAAAATCTTAGCTACGCCACTATTTGAAATTGACAAGCTAAAATAGGTCTTCAAAAAAAAAATGTATTCTTGATCGACAAATGTTATTAATTTTAGCTTCCCCATAGAACAATTAAAATAAAATGTTTAGAGAATCTAACTTAATTTCTCCACGACTTATTTTTAGACAAATTTACATAATTTGAAAAGTGAAATAGATTTCTCAGTAAGTTTAGGTAAAGGCCCAGCCACGATTTTATAATAGGAGGACCGAGAACCGAAATAATATTAATTTCTTAGCAATTTTATTATATCTAATGAATTAGTTGACCTATAGAATATCTTTTAAATTGTAAAAAAAATGATTGCAGAAACCAAACATATATTAATATTGATTCTAAAACTTCAATTGAACTGAGAATTTGACTTTATAAATCTTGAGAACCGATATCTTTTTGGTTCTTTAACTTTTATCATTTTTATATGAAATATTTTTTTTATTCATTATTTGAAAATTTTAATGATATTTAAAATTAAATGTTAATTAAACTAAGCAATATTTGATTTAGTTTGTGTTTTATTTGCATAATAACATTATATATAATAATATATATTATATATTGTATTAGAACAAATTATACTATCTATACGTTATAAATAATTCTTTTTTCATCGTTTCCCACACCAGCCCCTGTGGCCTAATGGATAAGGCATCGGTCTCCTAAACCGGGGATTGTGGGTTCGAGTCCCACCAGGGGTAGGCGTAATTTTATTCTTTTTTTTTACTATTATTATTTTATATAAGTTTTTCTATTACTAAACTAATCAAATTAAAATTACTCTAACGTATATTACGTAGACGTATATTTCATAAAAAGCAAATGACAAATGCTGTTATACCAAAATTTATCTCCAGTCAATTTTTTATTTAATGGTTTAAAAAATTTACTATTTATTCTTATATTTCAAATAGTAGTTATTAAAATTTATAATAAAATAATATTATTATACTTTGACATTTTTTTATCTAACTATGATTTGATAAACAATATCTTTGAATGTCCATTATGTAAAAGATTATTGCAGTGCGAAATATAATGTCAAATATTTACCAAAAAATTGTGTCTATTTACCAATAATGTGTATTTGTACTAAATATATCAATATCCATAAGACACCATTAAAATTAAAAAATTGTTTTGGCTCTTCAAAAAAATTATTAAAATTGACATAATAGATTAAAAAAAAAGGAACATAGTTATAAATAAAGAAAAATAAATTAAATTTATCAATAAACTCGTAAATTTATTAAATATTATAAAAATTCACAAATCGAAACAATCATTTTACTAATTTTAACAAAAATATGAATACTTTATTTCAATATCAATAACTTTATAAATTGTTAATGTATCGTGGTATTTAATTGATTATAAATCGTAATACTTTTATTGTGAATAGTCAAATTTCATGTTGCTAAGGTGAGATATTATGTTCTCTAGTAAAAAAAGATTTAATGAATATTTAAACACACATAAATATCGAACTATTTTTTATTTAATATTTATAAATACAATGAATAAAAATAAATAAATAGAAGAAATAGTTGTTTGCAACTATACTAGTGTATTTACTAAAACTAAAGTGTATTACTAGTGTATTAAATACTAGTGTATTTGAGACTTCACTTTCATACATTTTTTTTTATGTGTTTTATGTATATCAATATTATCACAAAAAGTTATCTATGTTATTTAATTAATCCTCTTTTATAATGCTCAAAACAGTTCTAAAAATCGAAATGAAAATTAGATTATAGACTTAGACAATTTGGTAAATATTAAAAATAATTGATATTAATAAAATGTTATAATAACTTTTTGAGGAACACTATTTATTGTTATTATAATTAAAAAAGTATATAATTAATATACAATTCAAAATAAAAGTACATCTTTGGTAGTAATAATGTAAACATTATATTATTTGGTTCTCAATTATTGTTAGTCAAAAAAAAATTATTTTGAATAAACACATAAAGAAACACACTTAAAATTATATAAATACACAAAATTTTATAATTCATAATATATTCATGTGATGTTTTAAGGAACTATACAAAGAGGAAATTTTGTTCCAAAATACAATTTAGTATTTTGGAACATACATTTAACTATAAAACACAACTACAATACAAATTACATAATAAGATAAAAAATTATTAAGCAAGTCATATTTTAATTTAAAAATTATAAATAATTTTTAATGTTTAAATTAAATTAGTTTAAATTGTCAATATATAGGAAAAAATCCATTTTTACATATACAATAAAAATAAATCTAACTAAAATATATCAAATTTTCTAATTAAACAAGTCATAATTTTCATTGAATCATTTTAGTAAGTTATGATTTCTTTTGTGGACTCTGTATGAAGTATAGTCAGAAAAGCATTTTGCACATTGTACACATTTAAATGGCTTAATTGACTTATGTGCTGATCTATAATGGCGATATAATCCTGAGCTCCAACTAAATTTTTTAGAACACCATTGACAAGGAAAAAAATTTTTTTTAACTCTCAAGTTTTTCAAATATTTATTAGCGTGTAAAGTAGTAAAATGGTTTTGTAAATACTTTGTAGAACTGAAACGAATACTACAGTAAGAACATTGATATGGTTTTTCACTTTTGTCATTTTTAACATTTACTTGTTTTTTTAACATAACTGAATTGATAATTTTATTTTGTGAAGTCTTGTATTTATTTGTTGAACATGATTTATCAACTTCCAATGTCTTGTCACTATTATTCTGTTTTAAACTATGATGATACATCATATGTTTTTTAAAATTTATTTTCAAGAAAAACATTTTGTGACAAATTTTGCACAAAAACTTTTGTGTGTGCATTCTAACATGTACATTTAATGCTTTACTTGTAAAATATGATCGAAAACAATATTCACATTTATAAGCTTTAGATTTGTTTTGCATTATAAAATGGTTTTCACTACACAATTTTTTTTCATGTTCATTTTCATCAGTTTTCTCCATTTTAATATTTTTGGTAATAGACATTTTCTTATTTTTAAATACTACTTTATTACTGTGGCATTTCAAATGACCACAAAGAGACTGACGTTTTATAAATGATTTATTACAAAAATTGCAATTATAAGTTGATTGTTTATTCTTTGGAACATGAATTTTTTTAGTTTTTATAATATTGATGATATTTGTATATTTATTGCATTTATGCAAAAGCATTTTGTTTTTTGAAATTGTAGCAAATGAGCAATTAGGGCAAGTAAATGGCTTAAGTTCATTTGCAGATTTTCTAGAACATATTCTCAGAGACTTACGTACATTTGAAGATTCAGGATGACTATTTTCTTTGACTAGATTTTTTATATGTATTTTAGCGTTAGCATTTTGGAAATTTTTATCTTTAAGTTTAAGACATTCAATGTTATTTGATATTTTAAAAGTAGTATTGGAGAATAATTTATTTTCTGAAGTTATACAATTTGTTGGCTCTAATAGGTAACTTGTATTTTCAGTGTGTTCAGACATGTGCATATTTAAATGAGCACATAACACAAATTTTTCATTGCAAAACATACAAGTATATGGTTTTTCAGCGTGTGAAACTTTTTTATGAACTATTAGATCATAAGGATCATCATAATTTTTATAACACATATCACACATTAAACTACTATAAGAATAGTCTTCACTAGAAATTGTATCCAAAAGTTGATTATTAATATATGTGTGATCTTCATCAAGAGGCTCTAATTTAATTTCCAAAACATCATTAACTTCTGATTTTATTTCTGTTTTTATAATAGTATTGTCAAACTGAGAAACCATATTTTGTTTTGAAGATCCTTCAAGACCATTTCTAAAAAAAAGAAATTATGAAATTTTTTTAACTATATTATATCTATTATAATTTATATGACAATGTATCTAGTAAAAAGTATTAATTTAACCTACTTTAAGCAATTCAGCTTGTAATGAAACTTATGCTATTGTGAACTCATAAAATAAACTTACTCATAAATATCAATTGCATTATTGTTTAAAGAATTATCTAGAGGTTCACATTTGACTACATTTGTTTGTCTACATATCTCTATTGATGTTTTTAAATTTGAATTTCTAAAAAAAATTAAATGTATTTTATTATACATGAAAAAACATAACTAAAGCTCATAATTTAACAATATCACAAATTTTAACTTAATAATAATAATAATTTTTCAGGAAAGTGTGCATTACAATTTTATTTGATATATTATTCTTTAAAAACTTTTTAATTTTAAAACTGTTATAAGTCTTGAATTAAAATTTAATATAAAAAGTGCTATACAAAAATTGGTAACTCATTATAAAGCAATATTAATGATATATAAATATATACCTTTTTAGCTCTCTTGTAGTAATGATTTAACTAAGATATTAATTATAGGTGAGGTATTAGAAGAGAAATATTAACAGTTAACGATTTTTAGAGATTTAGTAAATTAGTTAAATGTAGGAAAATTATTAAAATAACATAAATAATAGTAAATTCTTAATAAAATTAGAGCGATTGCTGCCTATCAATTGACACCATGACTAAAAGAAATATCTTAAAGTTTTATAAAGAAAAAAATGCCAAATTAGCCAAGAAAAGACAATAGTGCACCTATTATTATGTTCAATAATCATGAACTCTAGCATGAAACATTATATGATACAAAAAAAACTTGGAATTATGAAAATAATATAATTATAGAAAATAAAGGGAATATACCGATTGTTTCTTTTAAATTCATTTTTTGGTATTTTTACAAGCTGTTTGTATTTACAACTTTTACGGGGAATGCCACCCCATTATTTTTCAAAGGCCACATGAAAGAAACAATTTATAACAATAAAAGTAATATTTTCTGATATGATATATATTGTATATAGATAAATAATTGTTCTGGTCTTGTATTGCTCGATAGAAAACTAAAAATTTGCATTATAATAAAAATATCACTAACTTACAGGCTGTTTAACTGCATCATAATACCAATATAAATGAAAATTACACAACTATTTGGTAAAAATTTTCTATTTTAAAATCATTTTTACAATTGTTCATCAAAACTTTATTAAAATTCAAATGCTTAGTTTTTTATAATATCGTCATGCTAAAAGGAAGTTATACAAATCTGAGGAAAAATACTTATATATTTTATAGTTAATACGTTATTTTACTTTATTATGAGGTACTTGGTATAAACATAAACAGCCGCTGTTTTTTAACGTTATAATTTTTGATAACAGATATCACTTTTACCATTCGGTAATGTTTGGAAGAACTATGGTTTGAACCACAGACTACATGAAAATATATTATCATATAGTCTGTGATAAAACCGTATATATATATATTCTACAAATACAAATACAAATATATACAAAACAAATATATTCTATATATCTGTGGGTAAATATTTTAAGTAAAAATGCAAAAAAAAAAGAAGATGGTGGATAACATCGTTATGTAAAGGTAGACAAAGGTAAGTTTTTTTTATTAATTTCTAAATTTTACGTTAAAAACTAGTAAATTTTACTTATTAATCGATTTTAAGTAGCCAAATAATTCATTAATATTTCCTACCAAAGTAAATTTTTTTTTTTATGTATAATTTTAGCTTTGATGCATAGTTGAGAAGGTATTAATTTTACTATGTTGTGTTTTTTTTTGTGTCTGTTGCCACTTTTCCTCAGTTTTCATCGAACCGATTTCTTTCAAAGATACGTCAAAAGATCACAAATCGTATATAGTCGAAAACATTACCCTCAAAAATTGAAAAAATTTCCCTCGTTCCTTGTAAATGAGGGAAATCTTCACAAAAATTACAAATTTAAAAATCGCTCATTTTCGACATTTTTCAATTATTTTTACTTAAAACTGCCATAACTTTTTTAAAAATAACCAAATCAATATCATTTTTTTTATAGATGCATGATGTCTTTACCTTTCATTTGGTATATTTTTTTTATAAATCTGACCTTATATCTGCCCACAGGGGGGGATTTAAAATGACCTATTTTTTACAAAAAATTAACTTTTGAATGTGTTCCGGAAAGTCTGACACTTTTATATATATCTTAAATTAAAGCTAATGTATTATACTTTATCATGGAAAAAAAAAAAAAATTATTATTAAAGTAATGAAAGATACATATCTTAAACTTTATTTTCAGAGATAATGTTCAATTCCATATACTAATTCGATTTCAATATAAAAACTAATTAAAAATGTTTATTAAGCAATTAAAACAGTATTAGTTTTATAAACAAAGCCTTTATTAATTTATTAAATTAAAAATGTGTGTTTCTATTTTAAAAATAAATTTAATACCTTCATAAACCAGAAATCCGTGAATAAGTCGGATTAAGGCATAAGACAATGAAATATCATAATAAAATTTTAATGAATTATTAACTTCATCACATATAGTTAATATTATTAATATTATCAAAAATATAAAAATATATAGAAAATACTGTACAAATATACGTGGGTGGGGAAGAAAAAATTATGTTACCGAAAGCCACCCTAAAATCAAATATTGGCCAAGTTCTTGACAAGTACAAACATGTGCACTAGTGAACTACAAGTGTAAACTTATCAAGCCATTGATTCCTTTGACTTGTGTCACATTTACCGACAATCCGCGGGAAACTGACAAGTGACCAATAATTGTCAAGTAAGTGTTCCGACGGCTTAACAAGTATACACAAGTGACGAATATTTGGCAAGTCGTTTGAATCCGATTTTATAAGAGTATCATCTTTATTTTTTAAACAGCAAAATACTCAATTAACTAGCTTATTTTATTAGATAATGTTTTTTAAAGAAAATAACTGATCGATAACAACTTTTGGATCAATATTTTAAAAGTTATTAATAATTTATAGTAATGTCTGGATATAAAGCGCGGATGCTGATATTTTTATGACTAGACACTACTTCTTACTATACTTACTATCCTCCTATACTATAGGTATAAAGCAGTAATTAACTTAAGAAATATTGGTTCAAAAGTTATTATTGTCCAGTTATTTTTTTAATTAGATCATTATTTAATAAGCTAATTAATTATGTATGTTGCTACTTGAAAAAATAGAATTTACACCCTTATAAGGTATGAAAACAAAAATAGCTCACGATTGAACAATTTTAAAAACATGTATCTAAAATAAATTGAGAAAAGAAATTTATCAATATTATTTGTATGTTTTAATTAATTAAGTGGTTTATTATAAAATGATTAGTCTGTATATTATAAATATGTAACTAAGAATCTTTTTAAAATATCGTTAGATAACATACTTGATATAACAAGTAAAATAGTAACTTAATAGCTAACATTGAAATTGTTTGAAATTGTCAACCAACAACAATAAATTTTAATTGAGAATAAAAATTAATATAACACAAGAGTTAAATATCAATAGAGTAGTACTACATTTCTATAAATATTAAATTGATAATTGTTAAAAGCGTTGTTTATATTATTAAAATATCTATATCTATAAATAAAATTTACAGATATATTTTTAATATAGGACTTATTAGATAATATTTATTAAATAAGCTAATTTATTAATAGAAAATGAACATCTACATAAGGTTAATCCTCATCATTAGTTCTTAGATTGACTAATGATAAAATATCTTAGACCAATTAACGTAAACCAAGTAATATTGTTTTCAATAAAAAATATATTATAATAAATAAATAAATTCAAACTATAAGTCAATTCTCTAATGAAGCTTGAAAAATGAAAAACTACTGTTTTATAGGTCTTGCACACTGGTGCCTCCTCTCCTCCCATCTAGTGTTCATATTACCCATAAATACTTGGTACAAATAAAACATATAAAACCTTCGTTATTTATAGCACATTCTGAGTCTGTTCAAAATTATTTCCTATTTGCATTTCATATTGTTTTGAACATTAGTCGGTGAATTGTTTTAGTTCTTCAAGTTTATATTCTTCCTTGTGACTCATTCATTCAAGTTTTGACTCATTCATTTTTAGAGACTTCTCTTATATAATTTTTCAGATCCACATATGTTGTAATATTTAAAGGCGTCACTTTTGGGCTAGTAATAGTAATTATTAATTAACCCAACCGGTTATTACAACGTGATCAGATATCCTTGTTATTATGATTTATATTCTGCTGTTAGAAATTTCGGGGGTACTTATAAATCGGGAGAAACGGTATTCTATGATAAAATATTTATTAAAACTGGAATATTGGTCGGAATGGTATTTAAATAGGAACCATATATTTTAATTAAAATACATTATATTATTAATATAATACAGGAATGATAAAAATATGGAAAATATAATACGGGAAAATACTACCTTAACCAATTTTTACCAAGGAATTGTATTATCTAATATTATGTAATCTAGGAAAATGCTAATAAGTACTAAATTTACATAGACAATATTGTTCGGTGAAATTTCGAATATTTTGATAAAAATAAAAACCACGTATAAATCATAAATTTGAAATGTTTTTAAGTATAATTTTCTAGGCGGTTTGAATCCTCTAGAATATTGATAATGAGTATCGACGTATCCAGGGAGGCTAAAAGGGTTGGATTTTTCTATAACAATGAAAACCTTTATCTATAGACAGTTATAGTAGGAATTGATAGAGTTCTACAGAACATATAAAACTAACCGTTTTGAAACGTAAAACTATCTATGGTTGAAAAATTAAATATTTTTTTTTTTGTAATATTATATTATTACTTATAATATAAACATATAATATGATGTTATCATTTGTTCATGAAGATCACATATTTTGAATATACAAGATCACCAAAACAGGGTTATCTTATTGAAAATACAAAATACCAGCTAATTATAGGATAAAATCTACTTACTGTAGAGATTTTTGAGTAATGTCTACATCCAGGGCTCCCATTATAATTAACCAATTAGAATAGAAAGCCTCAGCTTCCAAGATCACGCTAGGGATCGTTAGACTACCCCTTTTGACTATAAAACAACCATTTATCACCTTCAAAACCAGTTCTTGTTCTTTCGAAAAGAAAAAGTTCTTTCAATAACTTTAAAGTACACAAAATCTGCGACGCTTTGCTCAAGATTTCTTTCCCTGGGATTTAGTCGTTTTTTTAATTAATTTGGACTTTGAATATTTTTCAATTTAAAAACACTTAGTCTGTTTTATAATTTTTTGGACTTTGAACATTTTTCTCTGGAGAATTACATGACACTTAGAAATTTTAAAGTAAATTTTGCTATGGTGAATATTTTAATTAAAGTTCATTTATTCATTAAATAATAATGTTTAATTAATTAATTTTTTTTTATTGTGGAAATTAATATCAAATAATATCTTAAACATCAAATCTTTTTTTATTTAATAATAAATCCAACTCAACTTTCAATTTTTGTTTAATAGTGAAAATTTATTGTGAGCTTTCCTTATTGGGTAACTAGGCACTAAGCTTAATGTCTTTGTTCTAACAAACATCGAGAGCGCAAAGAAACGTCGGGACATATTGGGCCACCACAATACCGCCTTGATAACATTTTTACATAGATATAAATATTTTTGAATCTTGTTTTGAGGATGCTTTAATATTGGTATCGATTTTTCAATAAAATATACTCTATCAAAAAATATTTATTCAACAAAGATAAAAGAATTTAATGAGGACAAATTACAAAATTATATTTCTAATAAAAATATAGTGCTTAGAATCATTTACAAATAAAATCAGTCTTAGATTTTGTGCAATTAAATCGTATTAATTAAAATTTGAATCGTTTTCATAAGTAATTATGTTGACTATGTGATGTGTAGTGTAAATCGTATATATAGTGCATTTAATACCAGAATCAACGTTGGATTGATTGTAATATGATTTACATTTATATTATTGCACGACATAGGACACAAGGTACATACAATTTAACCTGTGCTTTCGAACATCCACAATCTATTGCGTAATAAACCATTAATAAAATAGTTAGCTAACTAATATTCTAATTTTTAATTTAATTTTTGGTTTATTACATTTTACTCATCATTTTTCTACAATCCCACTACCCCATAAACAAGAAAACCGAATTAAAAGAGATTAGATTAGAAGAAAAAAATTTGTGTTTTTCTACTTTAAATATGCAGTCGAAAGAGTATAAAGGATACATTAAAAAAAATAATGAATAACTG